TCGGCGAGGTCAAAGAATTGATATCTTGTGTTTTAAAGCTCTAAGTTACGGGGTCGAAAGCTTAACTACCGTTATCATTCTGCAGTGGAACAAAGGACAAATTAACTTCTGACTAAAATTTGTAACAGGAAAATACTTGTTTACCGAAAAGATCAGTCGGAGACTAATAATCAATGACAAGCTTCTCACCTGTGTAGACAAGGACTGCAAAATTGATAAATGCTGAAGACATGGTATCGGGAAAGATGAATACTCCTCCGGTATATTGTGTTAAAGGAAGGCCCACCTCTTGCTAGCACGAACGAACTAGCTTTAGCTCGTGGGTTCATGAGACTTTTATATATAGTCGTTAACAAAGAGGAACTGAATATAATGTAATTTATTATCTATTGAGGTCACCGTCTGCTCGGTAATAAACTATTTAATTATCAAAAGGCGTAATTATTAATCAAGAGCATAGAGGCGCTAATCACGTCAGAAAACTTTGCTTATTCATTGCCGGAATATTTTCGCCAATGAGGTCAAACTAACGCAAATAAAACAATCAGTTGTTTTATTAGTTCCATAACGAACAAAAAGACACACAATCTTGTAACTGAAAATATCTCACACAGTGTGCTACTTAATCTATTATTTAATTCCTTTTACGGCAAACGATGAACAGTTTAAGGAGTGATGAAAGCCGAAACAAAATTGAAAGATTCGAATGCACCGGCGTCTTAAGCCAGTTTTTAAAAGAAGACTAACTGACGTGGAAGCGACTTCAAGACTAGTCCTTCACAGAGTGACAAGAAAATAAAACATGCAGTTAAATATTGAGTGTAATCTGATGGAAGACACCCCTTAATACAAATCATATATATTTCTTTTTTGGATACAAAAGTAAATTTTTGGGATGATGTCACAAGTCGTTAATAGCGCCATAAAAAGAAACAAAATATGAATGACTTTGAGCTTTCATCGTCATGGAGGTTTCTTATTGTCTGTGCTATCCTGTCAAGAGGACAATGATCTTTTTCATGTTTGCCTCTTACGCTAAGTGTACATGCTTATTCCTTTCAATTGCTTCAGCGTGGTCAGCTTTGCGTGATTCCCTGTGGTTTGACATCCATGACGTCATAAGGTAAGCACATCAATATCACATTCTTCTATCAGGACTAATGACATATTTGTATTAAAAAACTAAACTAATGAGTTTATTTAATACTTGTTATGACAGTTATCAGCGGTTTGACGTACACATAGTTTTGCTTTGTATTGACCCGTTCGCCTCGTTTTTACGCCTTTTAAACAAACGAATATTTGACCGCAGACCCAACTGTAATAACAGCTATTGGAAATGGCATGCCTTTTTCCCTTCTGAAGCAATTTGACTGGGTGGAAAATTAGCTTCTGACGTCATACTCGAAGGAACTGTTTCATTGCCTACGATATATAGCTGATCTGTCACTGCGCTTCTATCGTAATTATTCGCTAGCGTTTTGGGGTTTATTCACGGTAAACTTATTTCTTTTTTGATGAATCAATCGATCTGATAGGACAAAGCATCCTCCCACTATGGAACCCTGAAAATAAACAACGCAAGTCCCTTAGTATCGATATCGAAGGTATCGCATGGTCGGGGTTAACAACCCACAAAAATTTTAGTTGTCTCAGCTTGTGAGATTTGATATAGTTTACATAACAATAGGATCTGTTGTCGCTAATAATGACTTCTACCTTGACGGCTGTTAGTAAAGCAGTGGCTGTATGTCAGCGTA